TGGGTTGTTTTATATTTGAGGTTGTTATGCATGGTAATACAGGAGTATTCTTGTATGTGACTTTTAGTAGATGTAAGCACGTATTTCTCCCAGGTGTATACCCAGGTAGGATTGCTTATTCAAAGGATATGCATATGTTGTCTTTTAGTAGGTACTGCAAATATTTTTCTAAGATGGTTGTACCAGTTAACACTCCTGAGTTCTTTTGCTTTCAAGGCAAAATTTTCTTTTGTAATATTTTTACTTTATTGGTGATGCTGGTTAATGTGGGATGTTGAGCTATTTGCCGCCCCTCAGTCTACACAGAAACACACATATTCATGTTTCACATTTATTCAAAATTTGCGTTGTCATATGCTTGGAGATTTAATAGTGAAAAATTGCCCATAGGAATTAAAAAGAAACTATCCATTAGTTTTTTAAACCTAATATTAATCACAATAAAGTTTATTGAATAAATGTCTAGTTTTATGGTGCAGGAGTGAGCACGAATCTCAACTGTGTACATGTGGTATTTAATTCATACACTGAAACCAGAAGGGTGACTTGACTCAGAGAAGGTCCCTTGGCTCCTACCTCTAGCATAATTCATTTGCAACAGGCTGAATTGCATTTTATGGATGCTATTTTCTGTATTTTGTCCTTGGTTCCTTTGAGAGGAAGCAAGTAACTCAATATATAAAAGACTGCTTAGAATCCCCAGTGCTGAACATTTTAATTCTATCAAGTATGTGCCTATATATGGCTGAAAAAGGATGGAAACTTAGGGCTTCGGTTTCTTAGTTTACACAATGGTTCATTAAGTACCTGCATGAGCTGGAGGGCGGTATAACTAATAATTTTCCTGATATGAAAAAAAGAATTGTCAAAGTAAGGAGTTCCTAGAATCAATCTAGAAAAGCCTATTAGGGTAGATTTTCAAATAATAGAGTTTTCTTCCCTTTTGGAATAAGCTGCATTTGTTTATGTATTTATTCAGTCATTCATTCGTTCACAACAAACACTTATTGACTACTCTGTGGCAGGATTAGACACTAGGTCTAGACACTTGGCATCCAGACCAGAACAAAGTAAAGATTTTGCTTTTATAGAGCTTACCTTCACAGAAGGGCAAGAAGGAAGAAAACATAGAAGTAGAGATTGAGATGGGAGGGTAGGGAGTGATGATGATGTGGTTCTGTGGAATAAAATAAAAACGGGGTGAAGGGGATGGGAATGTAGGCTCGGTGCTGGGAACTGCTGGTGCTTTTTATAAAGGAGGTCAGAGAAAGCCTGTCAGTCAGTGGCACTTGTGCAGAGGCTGAAGGAATTGAACACTGTGGAAGTCCACTGGACAAAGAGTAATCTGAGCAGGGTGGAGCAGTGCCTGGTGGGCTGAAGGGCAGTAAGGAGGCCTCTGTAGTCGGTAGGTCATGAGGGGAAAAACAGCTGGAGGTGAGGTCAGAGGGAGGGCAGAAAGGACTCTGTAGGCTGGAGGCCATTTTAATGACTTCAGCTTTTTCTCTGAGTGAGAATCTATGGAAGGATTTTGAACAGTGAAGTGATGATTCAAACTTTCTTTTAAAAAATTACCTTGAATATTATAAGTAAAATTGACTTTCAGACAGAGTAGAAACAGAGAAACCAGCTGTTTTTTTCAAGGGAAAAACAAAATGTCATAAATGTCTTATTTTGTGGACTTAGTCACTATCACTGTGCTTCATTAGTAATAATTGTGTTTATCAGATCTGGGTGAATAATGACTGGCAGATTTGAGCCACATCAGTAATAATATAGTAATATGCAGAAAGAAAAATGCTGTGGCTATTTTAGAATAAGGTCTATATTTTATATTCTTTAATATTTTTCTGGCACTCTTCTCTGCAGTTTTACTTAATGTTGTGCCACTCTTTTAGCACTCACGCTTGAACTTAGGTCATTTGTGACTTCTTCCGGTTTGTCCTCTGCTCATGAAGGTTCTGCCATTGTTTTGCTGTCTCCTAAATGCATCTCCTTTTGATACTCCAAACTTTGGTTTTAGATCCTCCTTTCATCTCAGAGTTATCAAGTTCTATAATCCATGGGAAATTCACCAAACAGTGTATGTTCTTGAAGTGAGACCTTGATTTAGATACGTTCATATCTTTGTTCTCCAATATTCTGGCAGTAGGATCCTTTGCTATTTTTGAACCTCAGTTTTTCCTCTATAGCAATATCATTATCTAATTTATATTAATGTATAAGTTTAAGATCAGTATCTAATTTATAAGATTGCAATAAGGAGTAAATGGGACTATTGAAGTGTTCATAAAGTGCCTGCAATGAATAGATACTTAAAAATGTTCTTGCTGGAGGCTTGGCTCAAGTGATAGAATGCCTAACAAGCACAAAGCCATGAGTTCAAATCCCAGTATGGGGAGCAGAAGGATTGGAAAGTTGCTTCTTTATGGTTTCTGTTATTTTACTTCACTCCATCCTTGATACATCTGGCAGGTTCTAAAGCATAGCTCTCATGTGTCATTCTCCTTATCAAAACCTGCAGTAGCTCCCAGTTGCCTCACAGATTAATATAGATGCTTCTGCCTGGCATTTGGATCTCTATTCTCTGACTCCAACTTTTTTCCCTTATTCTTCTCCATGTACTTCATGTATTAACCAAATTCACAATTTTTATAATCACCTACTTCTATATGTTATCCTACCTGTCCTTCAAATCGTCTGAAGTACCATTGCCTTCTGAAAGCCACTAATGATTTGGAAGTGATTTCTCCCATTTTTGAAACATCATTGTGCTTGGAGGAGGCAGCATCTTGCTGAGGCTCTGGTGCTAGAGCCCAGGTGCTGTTGCTTACTGTCATCCTGTATATGTTATTTCAACTCTGTGTCTCAGTCTCCCCTGCTATGGGGGCACAATAATAATACCTAACTCATAGGGCTTGTGAGGATTAAATGAGATGCTGTATGCATAGCAATTTGAATATTATCTGGTACTTGAAAATTAGTTTCTGTAATTATAGGCATAAATTCTTAACATTATTTTATCACCAGGACCCAAATTTTATAAGGACTTCAAATAAAACCTGTTTGAGATACAGTAGAAAGACAGACAGACTAGAAAACAAGACACTTGGAATCTAATCTTGATTCTCACTACTACCCAACCTGTGTAATGTTGACTATCTCAATTATCTTCTCTGGATCTTTCTTCAGCTGCCCAAAGGTGGAAAAAAGAAAGAGAAGGGGATGAACAAAACAAAAAAAAAACCACTAAGTTCTCTATCAGTTCAAGTAGCCAAATGGCTATCTATGGACATCTAATAGCCACCTCCAACTCAACCCTAAACAGAACTCTTAAATTTCCACACCTCTAAATGTGTTCCTTTCCTCCTTCAGCATATGACAATACCATCTACCGAGTTTCAGTTAAAAAACACACATACACACACAAAAACCTGTGCCCTTATTTCACTTCTAGGTTAATTCTATTTCAAATCCTATTGATTCTACTTCCAAGGTATATCTTGAGTCCATATACTTCCCCATCAACACTGCTACAACACTAGTCCAAGACTTTCTTGTCCATACTGTGCAGTAGACCTCTGTCTTTTGGTCTCTATTCTTGTCCTCTTTTAACCTACTGTTCACAGAGCCAAAGTGATGTGGAAAACACAAACCAAAACAGCATAGTGCTGTGTCCTTAGTCTCAGCTAGTCAAGAGGCTTGAGGGGGCAGGATCACTTGAGCCCAGGAGTTTGAGACCAGCTTGGGCAGCATAGTGAGATGCCAACTCAAAAATAACAATAAAACATAAACCAGCTATCATTCCCCTGCTTACAATTTCTCAGTGGCTTTTTGTCATAGTAAGAATGAGATCCATACTCTTTTCATCTTCTCATCACTCTCCCCCTTACTGAGATCCACAACTCCTGTACTCTCCCCCACTGGAGCCCCTTTTTTCTGTTCCCTTACCAAACTGCCTTGGGCCTTTGTACTTGCTGTTCTCTCTGCTTGGAATAGCTTCTTCTTGTCATTTACATCTCATTCTACCTAATTGCCCCAGTGGTACTCTACCACAGTGCTTCCACCCCTACACACACACACCCGCAAAAAAAAAAAATGTTTATCTCTGTTGCCTGCACATTATAGGTATGCAGAGGGGAAAAACAACAAACTCAATTAAAAAGTGAATGATCGCAAGCCCACTTTTAATGAGATGTCAGTTTTATTTTAATTACATGAGCCAAGAACAGTATTGTTTTCTAAATGTGAAGACCTACTGGCTTTCCTTTCATTCAATCCCGCCTACTAAACAAACATTATGAAGCACATATGCTTGTGCTGGAAGTGTGACTGTAAATAAGACAGCAATAATACAATCACAAGCGCCCTCCCACCATGGTTCTCAAATTTACTCTTCTCTCCATCTCCTCTCCCGCACTACTACCTTAGTGTAAATTACCATCCTCTTTGGAGGATGTGGGTTCTAATCCGCACTGTGAATCTATTCGCCAGACTGCAGCCAGTGAGCATTCCAGTTGCTACTGTACCCATGCTTGAAAACCTTTGAAGTTTCCATTGTCAAAGACTAGGGTCTGCTCTTGTCCATCACTCTCCACAAGGCCACACTTCTCCCCCGGTTCCCGCCTGCCACCTAGCTTCCCACTTCCAGTAAGATTCTACAAAGCACCCTTGTTGCCTGCCTACTTCTTCGGTTTTCAGGACTGTCCCTCTCTCGGAGAAGCCCTCTGAGATTAGGCCAAGCCCCATTCCCCATCAAACAGATCATTCAGCTCCGCATCACCAAGGGCCTCTCCTTCAGAGCTCATGTTTGTTTTATAATTATGTTCTCCTGAATCTTGAGCCATATCAACGTGCTTTCCCTCGACCTCGCGCTCAATTGCTATTTGCGGAAGGAACGCACTAACTGGCTGCCCAACCACCGCTCACCCTCCCCCTGCGGAGGTGGCGCCGCGATGACGCATTAAGAAGGCGCCTCGAGGACTGACGTCGCAGGACGCCTGCGCAAAGAGGCGCGCATGCGCAGAGTGGCGAACTTGCTGACAGATTCTCGAAGCAGCGGCAGCGGCGGTGGCCCTGGACTGCGGGGAATGGGAGTCCTAGAGCCCTGACTGAGCACCGCCCCCGCCTCCCTGCCCCCGACATGGCTCAGGAGAAGATGGAACTGGACCTGGAGCTGCCTCCGGGTGCGGGCGGGAGCCCGGCGGAGGGCGGCGGCAGTGGCGGCGGCGGGGGCCTCAGGAGGTCTAACAGCGCCCCCCTGATCCACGGCCTCAGTGACACTTCGCCGGTGTTCCAGGCCGAGGCGCCGAGCGCCAGGCGGAACAGCACGACGTTCCCGAGCCGCCACGGCCTGCTGCTGCCGGCCTCCCCTGTCCGCATGCACAGCAGCCGCTTGCACCAGATTAAACAGGAGGAGGGCATGGACTTGATCAACCGAGAGACGGTCCACGAGCGCGAGGTGCAGACCGCAATGCAGATAAGCCACTCCTGGGAGGAAAGTTTCAGCCTGAGTGACAACGATGTGGAGAAATCCGCCTCCCCAAAGCGCATCGATTTCATTCCGGTGTCACCAGCACCGTCACCCACTCGGGGAATCGGGAAGCAGTGTTTTTCACCATCCTTGCAAAGTTTTGTGAGTAGCAATGGATTGCCTCCAAGCCCTATCCCCAGCCCAACTACCCGATTTACTACCCGGAGAAGCCAGAGTCCCATCAACTGCATTAGACCAAGTGTTCTTGGACCATTGAAAAGAAAATGTGAAATGGAAACTGAATACCAGCCAAAGAGATTCTTCCAGGGCATCACCAACATGCTCTCTTCTGACGTTGCACAGCTGTCAGATCCTGGCGTGTGTGTGTCTTCGGATACCCTGGATGGGAACAGCAGCAGTGCAGGATCTTCTTGTAACTCACCAGCGAAAGTCAGCACTACCACCGACTCTCCTGTGTCACCTGCCCAAGCGGCCTCTCCCTTTATTCCAGTAGATGAACTTTCATCTAAGTGATTCGCCCATCTTGAAACTTTTTTTTTTTTCCTTTTTTGCAGTGGAGAGACAGAGAATTCACCTTGGAGCAAGCACTGAACTTTGTCGATTAATTTGAGGATATTTCCCATTTGACCCTTTTCCTCTTTTTTTTTTTTTTAATTTTTGAATTTCCTGAAATGTTATTCTAGAGAACTTCTGTCAGGTTCCTGCGGATACCCTTGAATTCAGTGTAGTAATATTTTCAGACTTTTTCCCAATAAGTGTGTTGAAGCATACATTTTACGCTGCTAATATGTCTAAATACATATGTTATCCCTTGATTTTTTTAAATAATTGAGAGCTCTATTTATTTATGGGATTATTAAGTTCTGATGAAAATATGAATGTTGAATTAATCAGTATAGTAAACTGATGTTTTAAAATTCCATACTTTATGGCCACACTAATTTTTAATGTTATTTTCAGTGATCGCTAATTTCCATTTGATGAAGAACAATAACTTGCCTATCTACAGCTTTTTAAAAAAATGTTATATCAATCCAGTGGTTGTCTATTTTACCCAGGAGTCCTTGGTTATTTAATTTTCTAGATACAGAAGTAAATGGGAGGGGAAATGATTTTTTAAAAAAACCCAAATATTGAAGTTTGCAACAAGTGTTTTAAATTAAGAATCTTAATGTAAACATACTTAGGAAAAAACATTTTCTAATGAAATTTTAATAGTAATTCTACTAAGTCATACAAATATCACTACTATAAAGAAAGTGGAAATTTTCTTTTTAAAAATATTTTTACCAGAAAGTGCATTGGCACAGTGCCTTGTAATCTTAGCTTACTGCATATAGGCTAAGGCAAGGCTCTTTGTACCACTTAAAACTTAAAAGGTTTTCAAACATGGTGTGTGGGATGCCCTGTTGAACTTCAGCAGAGCGCCCAGGCAGACTGCTCTCTCAGTCACTGATATACTTTAAAATATGCAGGTGTGCCTCAGTTCTGAAAATTTTTGCCAATGAGGAGCCAGACCAATTTTTAGCTGCTTTTCTGCTCTACCCATCTGTCACCTTCCTGGGTTTCCTTTGCTCAGGAAGGAAACACCTGTTTCTTGCCAACAGGTCCTTCCTTTCCACGTTCCACTAAACTAGGGCACTGTCACAGTTAGACAAAAGTACAGTGTGACTTGGATTTCTGACAGTGTGAAACAACAGGGCTGTGAATTGTTTAACCCCTGTGGTTAAAAGCTACAGCTGGAGTTGACTGCTTTGGGGATGTTGATTAATTAAGGGCTGATGATTTGCAAGAGAAATCAATGGAGAGTCACATAGGTAAATTATTTAACTTAGGTTTTGTTAAAGGTAGAATTGTGGAATGCTCTTTGCCTTTTACAATTAAGAACAGCAAATAGTTTTTATATTACACTTTCTTATGTTATCTATCTTAACAAGATAGATGAGAGATAGATAGATTGATAAGGATAGATAGGAAGGGGTGGGGTAAAAAATAAAAGACTTTTCAGAGACCAAGACAAAAACCCCTCATTTTTTAAAGTTACTGTCTACAGACTTTAACAATTATGTGGAATTTTTACAACTGTGAGAATAAATGGAATTGGTCAACTCTTGACAGTTGCCTCAAGGTTCAGTGAAATGACATCAAGGGTGAGATTATGTCCATATGTTTAAATTTTTCTGTTATGGGGAGTAGTGTTCATATGCTTCAGTCCTGACAGTGTTCCTCAACTCAAACCTATATATCCAGTTTCTTGTTGAGTACCTTGAAGTACTTCCAGAGGTACTTTAACCTTAGCATCTTCAAAACAAAATGTATTATCTTTGTACCTAACATGTTTTTGCAGTACTTAAATTGATGTCATCACTATCTAATTTTCTCAATTAGGAACTATGGAAGCATCTTTGACTTTCCCTTTTCCCTGTCTTTCATGTCCAGTTTAACCACCAAGTCCTGCCAACTACTAAAATGAAGTAGTTCTCAACTCTCCCCCTTTCTGTATCTCTGTTGTCCATTAGTTAACTTAAGTTCTTGCTCAGGTGATCTCCCTGCCTGTCTGTTACCTCCCCCTTTGTCTGATCTTCACATTGGCTCTGAAATGGTCTTTCTAAAATACAAACTTGCTTTTCACTTTCCTACTTGAAAACTTTTTATATGCTTCCTCCTTTCCTACAGTTTAGGGAATGGTTTCTTTAGTCAAATCTATAAAGTCCCTTTATGATCTGGCCATATTCTAAAATGGCTTCAGTCCTCTCTTCATTCCGGTCCCAATACCTGTCCTTCCTTCTTGATTGGTAAATACTAGACTAACTTGATATTTTTTAAATATGCCATGTACTGTCATGTGTCTGTGCTTTTCAGTGGGTGCTTCTTCCTAAAAAGTGCTTCCTCCTAAAAAGTGACATCCTATCCTGTTCAATCAGCCAAATGCTTTTTTTTTATTGCATGTGAATCTAACTATGAAGGCAATGTATACCTACTGACTATAAAATATTTTTAAATGTGTAAATATATAGTTTTTAAAAGTTTGCCTTTTACTACACAAAATTCATTATCCCTTCCCATAGGTTACTTCTGTTAATAATTTGGCAATTTGTACAAGATGTGTTACTCTGCATTCCATGTACATGTGTATATAAATACAGGAAAACAACATGACAGTGATATCTTCCTTTCCTTCTCATATCTAGTTACTCACCAAATCTTAGAAATTCTGTCTTCTAGAATCTGTCTTCTTACTTATGTATCTACTGCCACCCTGACCCAGGCTATCATCATTTCCTCTTCAGACTTGAGGCTCCCACATGTGCCCATCACACCCACTCTGGTCACTACCTATTCATTCTCTCTAAGGCAACTAGTTATCCTTTTAACATTTATTTGTTTCTGTTGTTCTCTCAAATATACCAAAATGTATTAATTCTGACCTGGAGGTCCTGAGGGATCTGGTCTTTGTCTCTTCCTCTCTTTGTTTTCTATGCTCTATCCTTATTGGCTAGCTAGCTTTTCTTTAAATACTTCAATGTTTTCTACTGTTTTAGGTCCTTTTACCAGATCCTTTCCCCTGAAGGTATAGGAATTTTTATTTCTATAAGCTTATTCTTTAGATGGTAAGTTTTAAATTAGCTATGGCTTTTAAGAGTTGGTATGGACAATTTACATTACCATAGTATCGTTCACAACTTCAATCATTACCCGTTAGCTCATGCAATTATCCTTCAAAAAACATTTTTAAGGTATTAGTATTGCTAATCTATAAACTTTGAGCAAGAAGTCCTAAAGCAATTAACAACATTTGAAGTACAGTTTGTCATATATAATAAACTTCTGTGATATATTTTTCTTTATTATGTTTGTTAAAAAAAAACGGTATAAATGGGAAAAGTAATTAATGGTTACCAATCAAGCCTGCTGAATGTCAAAACCGTTAAGTATGCTTAAAAGATTGGTTGTAATTGAGAATAATCTTATTAGGTTACCTAACAGTGATTCACATTGATTAGTTCAGCCCATTGCATACCCTCAGGAAGAGACCCCTTTGAGATACTTGGCAGTAGAATGGGCAGAGAGTCAAGACTTAAAGAGGAGATGAGCCTGAGAAATTTTTTTCCTCTGAGTATGTTTATGGATTGCTAGAAAAAGTCTGAAGATTGAGGATAGGTGGGAGATGGGAATAGTTGCCAGACAACAAGGCAAAGGAAAACAATACTAACCTATAATTCCTGAGTAGTGTCAGATAATAGAAGAGTTGACCTTGGTAAGAAACAACAGAAATGTTTTTTGTTGTTCTAAAGCAGGAAAATGAAAAGAGTAGGCAAAGACATCAGCAAATGTTGAATTGATTTGCTTTTGTGGTTTAGGGGTACAGAGAAAGATATACAGAAGGTATCTGGTTGCTTCTGTTTTGCTGGTTATTGAGGAATTTAGAATATTTGGGGATGGGTACAAGAGTAGATTAAGAAGCTTGAATGAAATGCAGGCTTGCTGTTGCTCTGAGATTCTGTAAAGGAGTGACTTAGGGTAAATGGAAGGTTTATCAGACTACATTGGATGCCACCTTGCATTTGGATAGGAAGTCTGTTGAATTAACTAGGTTTTTCAAATTATTTAAATGAGTACTAGTTGAAGTCTGGTGTGTGAAGCAATTAAGGGTTCTACTGAAAGTGTAGGGTGAAGCATTGGCCAAGGCATTGAAGATGGTCAGAGGGAGATGGACCTGGCCGCTTTTTAAAGGTCTAGCCTTGTAATCAGCCATTCCGAATTACAGGGAGAATCTGGTCTCCCTGTAGCCAGTAGTTCTGTCCATATTTTTCATGACTGATTTTGTTTAGCTAGAGAAGCATCCCTAAAGGCCAATCTTGAGTTCTACTTATTTGATAGAAATTAGTGTCACATTGCCCACAACAGCCGAAACAGAGTGGATTGACACCAAAGTAAATTTTTTTTCTTAAAAATTAAAATAGTCTTTATATAGAAATACTTGCTATCAGGCATTGAATTCTGAACTAAACACATATGTTAATAGCGCATTTATTTTTATCACTATCACCTGAGGTAAGCGCTGTTGATATCTTCATTTTGTAAATGAGGAAATGGAGATACAGTGATTAACATGCCCAGGGTCCCACATTGGAAGGTAGGCAGTGTACTGTAGTGCTTAAGAACAGACCGTGGAGCCAGGTGGCTGTGGTGATAAAACGGTTCAATACATGTAATGCGCTTATGACCGTGCTGAGCAGTTTCATCGTTATTGTGGTGGTGGTAGTGATTATTATTGTCATTTAGCTTGGACTTGTTAAGGAATCTGTTCTGGGTCATCCTTGACTGATGAAATTCCTACTTTTTACTCAGTAATAGGATACCCTTTGTCCTTCAAGGCTGGCCTGGGGCTCTCTGTGGGATTGCAGGCATGTACCACCATGCCCGGCTAGGGTGATTATTATTGATGTTAGAAAATCTCTCTTATACTGAGCATGTATTTCCCTCTTACCTTCCACTATTGGACTCAAGTCCAGCTCACTGGAAAATTCAGAACAAGTCTTATTATTCTTTTTTTTTTTTTAAAGGTATTACTCTCCCTTTATAAATCAGAAACACTGATCCTTCTCTGATGACTGCTTCTTGCTTCTGGACTTTAGAAACCTTGAAACCTCGAGAAGTTTCTTCAGCAAACTCCCTCTATGAAGTAAAGCTATCAATACTTGGCAGCCAACATTTTCAGATTACAATCCCTTCAGGACTGTGCCTTTCTAGGTATGAAGTAAGAAATCTAACTACATGAGTTTTTGCCAGTATTAATAAAAATTAGTGTCAATATTACTTGACTCAATATAGGTCTAGATTCCATTTTAATTGATTATATATGTATATATATATGTATGTTTAGATATATATTCATTTAATCTTCATAACAACCCTATGAAGCAGGAGCTGTGAATTTTCCCATTTAACAGGTGAGCAAACCATGTACATTACTTCCTGTTTTTCCTTTTTTATTTTAGGTTCTTTTTGTTTTTTCTTGACAATTTTTTTCTTATTTGATATTGACCCTGTTTTCCAGCTAACTAGTAACTTGTGAATTTTAGTAGTGCTGCTACTTCTATTTGGAATCAAATGATATTTTTATTAAAAATGCCTTTAGATATCATTATTATATTAGGGGAAGATATCAAAAGGATTATTTTCTTTCAAAATAGATAAAAAATAAAAGTGTATAAAAGGAAATCATGTTCCATAGCTATATGTATTTTTTAAATGATTTACTATTTGAGTGAAATTTTTTGAGGGGGTCAGTACTGAGGTTTGAGCTCAGGGCCTCATGCCTGCCAGGCAGGTGCTCTTACCACTTGAGCCACTCTCCCAACCCATGATTTGCTATTTGAAAGATAAGGAATACCAAAACCACCAATCTTAGTTTTTTTTGTTTTGTTTCAATATATATAAAATTTGTTATATTATTAAATATTTATATACATGTATATCTTTGTTATATTTGATTTATACACTATCAAATTAATTTGGTTGTTTATATATATATCATTTCTAGGGAAACAAAGGTAAAAACCAGGTTGGCCCTTTCCTAACCTCCCCCACCCCAAAAAACCCAGCCTCTATAATTTTTAAATGTGTCATTTTTTAAAGAAAAAAGGTAACAATTCAAATAATGACTCATAACTTCTTATTACCTAAATGATAGCAAACCCAGTCTCTTTCTCTCCAGGAACCTCTCCCCAGAGGTAGAGATTTAAGTTAGAGAAATCAAGCAATCCTTGAGAAATTTCTGTTTTTGTTTTTTTTTTTTTTTCTTAAACTTTACTTTCTAGAAAATCACTTCACCATTGAGTAAAAGAACTAAAAAAATAAAAAAGGAAAAGAAAGAAAACTTCCCTTTGAATACATTCTAGAGGTGGTACTTAGACTTCAAGTTTCACACTATCATGTCCCTGTATTTGACTTTTTTAAAACAAACCATTGAAAGCCACAATTTGCTCAAAAAGGTTAATGCCATTTTTAGAAGTTAAATATTTAAAAATCACTTTGAAAGTGACTCTTAATTTTATTTATATATATCTATATATATGTGTGTCAAATACTTGAGTATTTGTTCATGCATGTTTCATGTACACCCAAATGCATACCACATGTATACACACACACACACACCCCGACCTACTTCACGAACCTTTTCACATGTGCTTGGAATCATATTTGGCTTTCTTCCCATTTGATATTTCCTCCTCTTTCACCCTCCTAAATTTTCTTAAATAGGTGGGTTGGATTTTGTGACTGCTACTGAAATACACACACATATGTGTGCATATACATAGGTACAGTTGACCTTTATACAAAGTATTTTGTGCTTTGATTTTGCATTAAGTTTTCAAATTTCAAGTGCTACCCTAAAAGAGAAAAAGGTATGTAGTACTTGTACTCAGGATCTCTTTGTGCCTGCTTTTTAGTTTCCCCTTTTTGAACTTCTAGAATGAATACTAGTGGTGATGTAAAAATCACTCATTAACAAATTCTAAAGTAGCATGACTGAAACTAGAGAACAGAGAGCCTACTGCTGTTCTTACTTGTGAAAGTTCAGTTCTGTACCAATGCCATAATCATTCTGGTTCTTTTCCAACTGCCTACGGTGGTCCCTTAAACCAAACTAACCTCTAAGACTTGGCTAGCAAGGCAGTTGAGAAAGAAGACAATTGAGAAAGATCTTTTGTGCCCTAGTAAAGCAAAATGGTTGTTTGAGGTAATCATTCCTGTTATTCAGGTAATCCTTCCCCTTACTTTAAGGACAGAGATTTTACTGTTGTCATGCCAGGAGGATTACTGGAACTCCCAAGTGACAAGTAGCTATTCAGTGCTGTTATCTTTTGAAAAGGAACAAATATGAAATATTGGGGAGGGAGTGGAGTGAGAGAATGATGGAGGATTGGTATTTCTTTTGGCATTGCGAGTGTTCTCTTGAACTATCGTTGTGAGCTCCCTCCATTGTGAGCAAGTGATGCTGAAGGTATTCTCTTGAAAATTTATTTGCTTTGTTTCACTTCACTTAGGATTTAGAATGCTTTAAGAGTTGCTTCAATTTTGTTTTCTTTAATATTCTCTTCTTTGACTACACTGAAAAAATGGTAAATAATGATAATTATTATAGTAGTAATATTTGAGTCAAGAATTACAGTTCTAGGAGCTCTTAACCAATTTTTACTGTGTTGCTAACTGAATTAAAATTTCATACCTTTTTATATAGTCTTTCTCAAGGCCTCATTTACCACATTACTTACTGCAGATATTTTTAAAAATGCAAACCTGAATATACAACTTTAATGACAAACACTTAACTTTGAAAGTAAATCAAATTATGTAGTTTGGGTGAAAGAAGACCTCCCTTCCTCTGCACAAACCCTGAATTCCAGAACTCTGGTCCACATTGAGATGTTGTGGTTCATGCTCGGATATATTGTCTGTTCTTTCAGACAAGCTCTGTCCTCAGCTTAAAACTGCTCATCCTTCCTCTCTCCTCCATACTCCCTAATAACCTCTTTCCTTAAATAGCTCCTGAAAAACTTAGCTCAAAAGGCACACTGTCCTGATGGCCCCTGCCTCTCCAGGATACTTTCTTTTGTAATCCTGTTGTGCCCAGGACTTCTCTTGGTCAAAACCATTGACGGCCTGAATTCTAGTTGTATGGTTTTCTTGTCTCTTTGCCCCATGCAGAAACAAGAATTGCTGAAAGCTGGAGGCTCATGCCTGTAATCCTACCTATTTGGGAGGCTGAGATTGGGAGGATCATGTTTCCAGGCCAGCCTGGGCAAATAGTTCATGAGATCCCCCATCTCCATATGAAATGGATTAGAGGTGAGGCTCAAATGGTAAAATGCCTGCTTTGCAATTGTGAAGCCCTGAGTTCAAACTCCAGTATCACCAATAAATCAGTCAATCAATCGATCGGTCAATAATAAGGACTGAGCCTTTTATTTCTGCCCCTAATGCCTATAGCACATTATAGTTACCCAAATTTATATTGCATAGATAAACCGGTGGATGAATAAATGAACAAATGAATGGCACTCTTGTTTTGTTTTGGTTTGGTTTTTGACTTTGCTGTATTCATAGTAAGATTTTATTTTATTTCTTCAATTGACAATGACAGTGTCATTTAGAAATTGATTTGACAAACATTTTGACAAACATTTATTAAGCACACTCTGTGGCACACACTGTTTTTAAGAAAAAGGAATGCAGTAAGATTCTTAGTGGAGCAAATCCAGTCACATGGCTGAGATCTTTATAACTGACTAAGAGACTAGAAATTCATTCATTCATTAAGCAACTTTTATTTGGAAACTTATGTGCCTCCCACTGGCTAGTCTCTTAGGATACATTAATACACAAAACAAAGTTTCCTGGCCTAGAGAACACACATTTTGTTTACAGTCTAATAGTGTGTATGTGTGTGTGTGTGTGTGTGTGTAAAAACATAATTTATATAGTGAGGAAGAGCAAGGAGGTCTGGGTGGCAGGGACAGTTTAAAAGGAAAATAATTGGTAGACAGTTTACAGACACAGATGGCATCAGATCTTGTGGCCATTGGAGGACATGGAGTTTGATTATAAGTGAGAAGAAAAGCCATCACAGAAGTTGAACACCGGAGTGACATAATCTGTCTTAGGTTTTAAAAGGAACACTTACTGGACTGAGAATAAACTTTGAGGTGGAGGATAGAAACGGACTAATTAGGAGGCCCTCCAGCAATGTAGGTAGGGTATGGTTGTGGCTTGGGTGAGAGTGGTAGCAGTGAAGGTGGAAAAGTGGTTAAGTTCTTGATAGATTTTGAAAGTAGAACCAACAGTTTTCCTGGCAGATTTAAGGTAGGCATAAGCAGGAGAGAGCGAAGTTAAAGATAATTCCAAGGTTTTATGCCTGAGCAAAGTGCAAGGATTGGAGTTGCCATCAACCGAGATGTGCAAATGTGTGAGTAGAGTAGGATTTTTTTGTTTGGTTGGGGCTGGGGGGCAAAGGGCATTAATAGCCAAATTTTGAATATATTACATAAGCAGTCTTTATTAGTCATTCAAGTGGGGATGTCAAATAGGCAGATACCCAAGTCAAGTTCAGGGGGCTGTGCTGGAAATATGTAATTAGGAGCCATCTGCTGTGGATGACTTAGTGTCCATAGAGAAGAGAGTAATGACTAAGCATGGGGCACACTGTGACATGAGAAAGGTGCAACCAGGGAGGTAGGAAAACCAAGAAAGCAGGTGCCGCAGAAGCCTCTGGAAGAAAATGTGTGACGGAGGATGGAGTGGTGCCGTGTGTCAGCTGCTACTGGTCTGACAAGTGAGATGGGACTGATCAGTGAACATGGAGTTACAGGCCACTTCATGTCAGTAGAGCGGTGGGGATGGGAGCCTGAGTAAACGTGGCCTTCTTCCAGACCCTTGAGGTTAAAGAGCAAGTAGAGCAAAAAGTCACCTCTTTCTTCCTTTTATTGGTAATTTGTTATTGAGCATTTTACAATGTATATTCCTTTATGTATATATGATTACAGTTTGGGTAAAAACACAAATGATGTTCTCCTTCCCCTTGGCATTTTATGGAGACAAAAAAATCTGTTAAGCATTTTTCTTACTGCAAACATGAGTAAACTATTCAAACTCAGGCTTACTGATTCACTTCCTTCATAGATT